GCATCCTACGGTACTTATACAAAACCCTCAGGGTAGGCCTTTTTCAAATACTATTTCCAGCCTGTAATTGTTAACTAATAGAGATGGAATTTTATAATCAGAGTGAATTTACCAACATCACCGGGTAATCCTTTTCTGCGTCAGTTTTGCCAGGTTTCAAATCGATCAGGCGCATTATATAAAAGAGGAAACATACCAATTGGTTTTTGCCGGTCAAGCCTGACTTTGCACCTGCACAATCTCCAGTATGCTCGGATGATGATTACACGGTCAATGTGTGTGCGTGATGACCTTGGCAGAACGTCCTGAAAATATTTTGGGCTTTTCGTAGCCCCAACTAAGGAGGATTTTGTAGTCACACGACCGTGGAACTGAGGCCTATTTATTTGTAATCCTGTGACGCGGTGAAAATGACTAATGACTCAATTAGTAACGAGGCATTAATTTCCTCACTGAACGATGCCAAACCGAGCGCTTTGTCACGCCCCTACCCCTAGGCCTTTTTGCTAGGATGTAGCCTCAATCCTGCAAAATCCTCCAATTGGCCTCATGGAAAAATAGCAGATAGCCTAAATCCCGCAAATTCCTCCATTATTTCTTGAATATGGTCCGTGGAGGGGTGTACCACTGCCTGAATCCTGCAAAATCCAGCGGCAGTGATTGCTAATATATGTTGAGATTTGGCCAGTGATATCCTGGAGCACTACGGAAGATTTCAAGCATAATCCAGGTCTAATTTATGCATGGCTGAGCAGAAACAACACAAAGTCCGGCCCAAGACCTTGACAAAGTGCATCCTACAAAATCAGTAACGCACTTTTGCAATGTAACCTCAATCCTCCAAATTCCTCCACTTTGGCAAAGAGGATTTCGAAGGATTCAGGGCGGTGAGTGTTCAGACCAGCAAATCTGGATATATCAGGATTTGACAACGATGTACCTGTGTATTAATCTGTGAATTCCTCAAGGCTCTTCACACGGGTATGTTCTATAATTAATATTGCCCTGAACAAGATTAAAGCCGCTCACGGTACAGGTCTACGAGAGAAATAAAAAGAAGAGTAGGTAATTATGAATCCTGACGCACTCAAGGGAGGGGGGGGGGGGCTCGGGGGGCTTGAGCCCCTCCAAGAGGTTGTCAATTTTTTTTTGGTTTTGGTAATTATTTTAGTCCCTTGATTTGACCTTGATGATATGTATGTGGTATATTTTCGAGTAGTATCATAGGGGTCTAAGTGGCGCCACCAACGTCAAAATAGTCCCCCCCCCCAAAAAAAAAAACCAACAACAACAACACAACTCCCCAAAACACACACACACACACACCCACAAACCCACCCCCACGCTCACACACAAACATTCTTTTTCTGCGGCCAAACATTTTGGGAAATTCTTTTTACACATTTTAACTTCTAAAAAAAATAATATGATCCCCCAAGCCAAATCCTGGGTGCACCACTGGTTGGAAAATGACAGATCATAGGTTGGAGGCAAACAAGCACAAGGTAAGGAATTACAAAGACATGTAGCTCATAGAAATGAGTGTCCTTTTGTTCTTCATGGATGTACACCATCGGTATATAAGACAACAGGCAGAAATCCAAGTTTCTCTCTCAAACATTCTGACTGGAGGAACTAGTTAAACAGGCTGGGGTGGCTACAGACTGACGGTGCTCTTAATGCAAAAGAGTGGTAAACACTCGAAGTTGTCGCCATATATGCTCTTTAAACAGTGTGGAAGTTAATTCACTCTTGTAGATTGATTTTTCACTATGGGCCAAAGTGAGGAGTGCGAGAAGAGGCATCAAGTGCCGTGTATCCATTAACACACATGTGGCTGCCCTAACGTGGCTCTCAAAAGCCACACAGCTCCCTCAATTAGCACGGCACAAACCAAATACACCTCGTGATCATTTTTATTTGTCGTTTATCATAAAACGCAGGGCAATGGAAACCTCTCTTCTATCCCGCAATAGCATTGCCTTTATGTTTAAATTAATCTTAAACATGTCAAACTGAAGACAGTTTTGTGTTTTTTTGCCCTTCCATGGTTGTGTCATCTCAAAAAATCCCCTGACTTAAATTTATCATCCACATGTTTGAAAATTGGATTCTAAACACACGGCATTTCAATTCTTATCTTACGGAGCACAATCAAGAGACCTATCCACACAAGCTGCAAATCCGTAAGTCCACATTACAAATGAAAGGATTTTACTTTCCCAAACGAGGGGGCCTTTGCAAATAAAATTAAAACTGCAGAGTAAATACCAGAGCAGCATAACAATTGTCCAATCTCTCGCCCCAACGTAAACATACCACACGAGGCCATTTTCAATGCAGACCACTTTCCAAATCACTAACGTTTTCAAAATTAGTTTACAGTTCGCCCGTCACTTAATTTCATCGTTTTGGCACTACGATTGAATTGTGTTTGTGACCGCCTTTTTAACGCATATTGATTTACTGAACGACTGGCTACGGGTATATTATATTAAGAGTGATTTTTAGGGAAAAGGGTTTTCTTTTAAGTACGAGTCAGGCACAATTACACTTGTTTCCAGTGCTTTCGTTTGGCTGGTGTCTAATGGGCGAATCAAATGCTTATATAGATTTGTGCATGGATGCCCCTGGGACCGAGTACCAGGTACCGGTCATTTCGCGACCAAGCTCTGAAATTTATTGTAAAGAAATTGTGCATCGACCGCTTTCCCCTAAAGTATAGCGTAAATGAATATCAATGTATACATTTCTCAATTTCTTGACGAGGAGTGTGTCTACATGTTTTTTGTTAATTTTGGGGAAAAGTGACCAATGATATCTTTGAAATCCCGTTCCGTTTTGCCCAATACCATTTTTATACCGAAGTACTTTACTTGCCTACTCTGTTTCCTTTTGATATTACAACATTCTGGTGTTTATCTAGCTAACCAACCTTAACCACTACCTACAATTTGACTGCACCATAAAATACCACCTGGGATACTTGAGTAGTTCCACTTGGCTGTGTAATATGCTCCATACTGCTGTCTTTGAAATGTTGCACTTCTATGATTTAAAGATGTTTTGCGTTCCGAATTTTTAAGATAAAAACAAAATCTTCAAATAATCATTTTCAAAGGAGGGTGATAAATACTATCTTAGCAACATAATAATCTTTACGAATGACAAAGGACGTTACCCAGATGCCTGTATAATCGTCACGCACAAAACAACCGATTCGTTTGATTATCATGTACAAATGCTTGTAGAGAAGCATAAAATGTACCTAATAAGCTATTTGCGAGTGACCTATGCCCATTGGGATTTAAATTTGAAAAACGTCCGGCACACTGACTTGCTCAGAATGCTTGGCAGGTTTTAACTTTGAATTCTCAGAACCAATGACACTGCTGCTATTCACATGATTGGGTCAAGCTCTTGCATAGTTACACAGACGCTCAGCACCAATACATTGTTCACAATGGGTGAGAATGGCACAAAGACACCAGACCATTCCTGGAGCTGCGGGTGGCTAGCATAAGGCAAGCCCGAATCACGTGATATAGCAACAGTCTAGTTGGTCGGGAGAATGCAAAGTAGAAACGTGCAAAGAATTGGATTAAGTCAGTGCTCTAGATGTTATTTAAATTTAGCTCGCAATCATGTACTCGATCACAGATCAATACGGTTAGCCTTTGAATGTCATTTTAGTAGACGCAACAAGAAGGGAAGCTTTTGGGGATGACTGTCTGTCACGTACCGGCTTAGTAGAATAATTCAGCAGAGATAGTGAAGTGACGTTATCAGATTTTCAATTGGGAAATTGAGTAATTCAACAATTTAGATCACACCTGCGAAACAGCTGTTCATATATCAAAGAAGCCGAATTTTGAAGTGACCTTATCAAATTTTCAATTGGGAAATTGAGTAATCAAACAAGTTAGATCACACCTGCAAAACAGCTATTCAAATATCAAAGAAGCCGAATTCAAAAAAAGTGTCTTGCTCCAAATTCCCAAGTTTAAGGTACATTAATGATCGCGTGCAGGACATAGTGACTTCGCAATTTACAATCCAAACTAAAGCGGAGAGTGCAGTGAGTGTTTTTTGTTAGTTTCATAACGTAAATCTTTCACAGGGAAAATCCATCGGATTGGATAAATGTGAAGGTAACGACCAGAATGCGCTGATCTCGAGCTGCTGCAAAAACTGGTCTCATGGCTTAATGAACAGGGGTAATAATTGTGCAGCACTTTGGGACCGTCGGTATAAAACGCTATTATGCATACACATTATTTCATTGTTATTATAATTACATACATTGTAGGCTTTCAGGAAGGTCACCGATTCGAATTCCAGTAATAAACCTGCTCGACTTTTAGTTCTTGCGGTATCATAGGCACTGGATTTCGAATGTTATTATGTAGTATAACATTGGGACAACATCTCACACAATTTTCATTATATGGTCACGAACTACCTATACCAATACACATCATATAAGCATTTCACGTCACTTTCAGTCTACATCACCTTCGCATATGAACCATTTTCCAGTCTTAAATAGAGATGATGTAAAGTGTATATGTCTCGCGATGCAATGTGAATCGTCACCAATAATAAAACATAGAATATTCACATGACAATGTACATGTATGTTCTCAGTCTTCCAGTTCGAGTACATAGAATAACAAAGTAAATATAAGTACTTTACTTACGCAATCCAACAACTTGCTAAGTTTCTTCCGACGTGGTCGGACTGCGTCAGGAAAGTGATGACTTGGCAGACAGTATTCATAAATTGCGATGTGATATTGCGCACTTGGTGGAGCAAAGCACGAAGCCACATTCGAGCCCAAATCCCAATAAAACATAGCATTGGCCTACTCCTCCAACACATTTGCACATCTTCGATATCTCATGTCTATTTGTTGATTTGCCGCGCATCCACGATCCGTACGGCAAAATAATAAAAATTTAGAAGAAAAGGTAAAATATATATACATAATCATAATTACCTTCACACGCTGTCCTTCTTGGCTAATTCGTCTGTGTGCGTTCTCATTCCTCCACTGATGCACATCCTGTCCTTTACATCATGCTAGCCGCATTCTGCAAATTCGATTATAGATTTGATCACTCAATACCTTTACATACTGAGTGTTTACTTCCCGACTGCGGCCGGCCACTGTGTGCATCTGGCCGCCCATAATATTGTCGTAATTTACTGAACAGAGTCGGCCGGTAATGAGAGCCACGCGAGACATGCAGAGGTTAGGAAGCGGTCAGAATTAAAGTGAATAGTCTGGGTTTTTACCAAATGGACAAAATTGACTTCAACCGAAATATGCTCGTCTTGTGGGCCATTGCTGAGATAGGGTGCGGCAAAACATGGATCTTATTTTGTAAGCACTCAGCCAATGGTGTACAAAGGGAGCTTGTGAAACAAATCACAAGAGTTCTAGAGTGAGACTCGAACCCACGACCTCTTGCTTAATAGTGCACACGTCCAACCCGAGTAAGGTGCAATTTTTTGTCATAAATTCTCAACATCACTAAGAACACAAATGACACAAGTGAGGGTTCAGCCAAGTAACATTATTTACATCTCTCAAACACAAAATTCCATCTGCAAAGGTTCATCTGTAAATTTTGTCGGAAGAGTATAAAAGTATTCAGGAAACCCAACATGAGGTAATGCATCAGTAAATATCACAGTATGAACACAATAATGAAGCAAGCAAAAGTAGGTCTCAGTGTGACATCACAGCCTTGTCCCCATATGAAAGTAACGTTTACTGTGCACAAAAGCTGTATAGAAAATTGGTGTCAGAAGTGGGATTGTATAATTCTCCCTACACTCTAAAAAAGCATTAGTCAGATTTGACAATAGAAACCAGTTAAATTTGACTAGCCATTCAGGGTCAGCTGGGTGTAACTGAAAATCAGTCAATCTGACTAGATTTTTTCCAGTCAGTATTATTGACTTTGAAAAAAAAAAGTTATGCAAACTGAAGTTGGAGTCGAACCCAACTACTTTTTCTAGTCATGGTATGAAACTTAGCATGTTTAACTAATTTCCTAGTCATTTTTTAATAACTAGGAAAACCAGTCAATATTTGACTAAGTTGTTTTTAGAGTGTATACATCTTATACTCTTTAGATAACTTAAGTTTAACATCAATTCTGTTTATATTAGTACACAGTTAAACGTTCTGTAGTGGGTAAAACATACGTTTTATTTTCCCCGTGGTACATTTTATGCAAGTGTTAATGCAGAAACGGAGTCTCTGAAAGTTAGTGTTGGAAGTGGAGCGACAACAAAACCAGCCGGCGAGTGCGCGCGCCCGATTCCAAGATTGGTCTGATATCAGCATATTTAATTGGCCATCTCCAAACCTGTTGGAATTTGATCTAATGCATGTTACTATCTATCGCAAAGTGCGATAGCCTATCTGTAAGAACGTAGGCCTACATGATGTGTATATCACCAGCCAATATATGTAGACCTAATGTTTTGTCGTTACGAGAAGTCATAGCACTTTCCAAAAACATGAACTGTGGTAAATATGCATTGCGGTATCGATCGCAGATCGTACCGGATTCAATTCATCAGTATCTTGACCTTTTTTCCCCAAGCGCAGCGTGCATCGGCCGGATCGCAGTTTATCTCATGATCAACGTCGGATAGCCCGCAGATGTACTCCACGCGTAATGTAATCACGCAGTAGCAATACTGCCCTGCATTCTGCTATATGGCAGACTATACGATATGTACTTAACGGTACCCTCGCCAAAAGTGCACTTTAATGCGTCATATTATCATAATTGTGGTATCAGTATCCGGATACAGATATTAATTTGCATCGGACATTGCCAAGGGGCAAAAATACCAGTGACCAATTTCAAATACGAATTAGCAAGGAAGCAGGTCACGTTCAGCCCGTGGATAATTGGCAATCACTTGCTTATCTGTATGGTTGGTTTGTCTCTGTATTTAATTCTGTAAAGAATGATATCAACACAAAACATGAAGTAAAACTGCTGAATAAAATTGTTGGAAATATATAATTTTTGACTTGTATTGACTTTTTGACCGAAACGTTTCGGCTCGGGTAATTATCAGTATCCTGACTCCAACCGGTCTTAAACATAGTGTTTAAAACCGGCCAAGCACATATTTACACCCTTAATATTTACTTTCACTATCAATGTTATTAGTATATAATTAGGATAAAAGCGTCAACATTAAACACCTGTGGTCGATCATGGGAAGGGGTTCCAGGAGAAACAAAATATGACAAGCAACACAATAAAGGGGGCCACTTTGCTACCGTCATGTAAAAAGTTTTTCTAATTTTTGTGATTTTTTGTTAAATACCTGAAACCACCAAAGCAGAATTACAACACATGAATGGACATGCAGCCTTTTGCTAAAGATAATTTGAGTTGATTATTTATATTACTTTTTGACATTATCCTCAAATCCCATTACATAGTGGACGGAAAACTTGGGTAACTTTTTCCGTCCATTTTTGATAAAAAATTGAGGGTGATCAAAAAAATTAAACAAGAAAGAAAGAAATGATTCAACACATATTACATGTATTATAAGCCTAGGCCTACATGTCCATTCACATTTCAAAAACTTTTGGGTGGTTTCAGCTACTGTAAACAAAATTACAACCATTGGAAAAACTGCTAACGTGACGGATGCAAAGTGGTCCTCAATATTGTATTTCTTGTCATAGGCCTATATCATATTAATACTGGGGTGTGAAAATATTTTGTTGAAAGCTAGTTAAAACCACAACTTATCACACAAGCCACTGATTTTGTTCCATAATACCTTTGAACAACCAAGTGATTAAACACCCATAAGCTGGATACACCCGTAGGATATCATTTCAATCTTCCTAATCACTCAATTTCTGACATGATTTTACAGGGCAGTGAGGCACTAGGAAACCACAGAGAGATTGTTCGTCTGAGTAGAGAGAAATTATGGATAAGAAGTCTCCAGACCATTCAATTCCATGGTCTGAACATCCAAGAAGGAAATGACTAATAACTTTTTGTCTTTGCCTTCTCCTTTTCACCATAGATAAGCCCCCCCCCTCCAGTCTGCCTCATTCACCAATTAACTACCTTTCTCTCCCTCTCCCCATCATTGACTTTGTCCTTTGTGTTCCCCACCTCTTGTGGTCAACCATCCCCTTCCCCCCATCCCCCTCCCTTTTGTTACCCTCCTTTCTGTTTAGCCGCCTGCTTTCTCTGTGTATTTTCCTCCGCATCATCTATTTCCACTTGACTGCTTTTGTTACATCAGTAATGTATACATGCACCTGTTTATGTTTATAGTCTTGTCATTTACCCTTCGAGAAAGACTCTGCTAGGGTCGAAACGTCAGGCCACTAACTATTTTTTTTGCATTTATACCATAGGTCCTTTTGGTTGGTAAGCAGTTTGCAACAGCTAATTCTATTTTTCAAGTGATTATTTGATAAGATTGCCCATAAACAGACAACTAACAGGATGCAACTATGCGATTTGATTTCGCCACGTCCCTTGATGCCGTCAACCCCCCCCCCCTCCGCCCCGCGATGATGTCCCCCACGGTCATTGTGTCGTGGCATTTTAGGCATATCTTGTCTGTGACACGTGTAATAAAAAAAGTGTTGACTGAGCATTGTTTTGTCAGCTGTATCCTTTGAGTTGTCCTCGAATTAAAAATTTGCCTGCTTCCTTGCAAAGAAAATCAATATTTGCCAAACGTAGGCAAAACTATACGCCTACATGGCATGACAAAAGGTCCACTGAATTGCTGTGTTTAAGCATACTTAAAGATGTAAGCATAGTTTATGCGTTTTTTTTGTGTAGGCCTGTCCTGTTTACAATAGGAACGTGTTGTTGCGAAATTATCCAAACGTCGAGAAATTCAGATTCCATACTATTCTATACTTTCTGATTTTGATGTTACATTAAAGATCGTATCAGCGAACTCAGGAGTGAGATTGAATGTTTGTTTTTTACATCCTTCAGGAAGTACTCAACCACTTGATATTGAGATTTTGGAATTTGATGCCGAAGCTATCAACGTGCAGCGCGGCTTCCATTTCGTATACAATCAACCCAGTATTACCAGCAAGGGATGCAGTCAGAAAATACGTATTGCTCAGTGCACAGAACGGAAATACGGTTCATTTACCCGGGAAGTCATTCACAGAGAACGCAATTATGTTTCCAACTCCAAGTGCACATTTTGTCACTTCCACGGCAAAAAGGATGAATGTTTAAGGAAACTGTTGTGTGGAAACTGTAACAATGATGGACCATCATCTTTATCAGCTGGAAGCGGTTAATTCGTCACTCGTTCATAGGTTTAATGCTTTGATTGTATTTGCAATAAAAAAAGACAGTGAGGGTTCTAAGCAACTGACAAGGGAGGCATTTTAACTGTGGGACACCATCTGTAAGTAGGTGATCTGTGCCCTGGTTGCTGCGCTTCCCTATAGAAATTGGTTGAACGATTGATTCACTGCATGTCTACCGAGGGAGTACATGAGACCAAGGATAAGGAAGATGTAATAGTAATAAGGAGGTTATCGCAGACGACGTCTGGATACTAAACAAGATCGAGAGAAGACAACCGATTATCGGTGGGGGAGAGGAAGAAAAGAAATGGCTCGAAGTCCATTTTATCAAACACCTATTTTGAGAGGAAGGTGTTATGAGATCTTATCTGTATCAGGTGTCAACGTATGCCCAAGAGAAACGGTATTAATTCTCATTTTGCCGACAGCATAACGACTTATGGTGTTAAGACACTGATGGAGTGTTATCGACTTGACGTACATTAAGCCTGATGATTAGCCTGGGCACATGATGTCGTGTAAAGAGAGAAAAGAGTATAGAAAGCTGTCTCTTTCACATGTCTGTGTACCACATTTCTTGTTAATTAAAAAAATCTTCGATTTCTTTTAGAGAATTCATATTATTTTTAAAAAATATTGAATTTTTTGTCAGCAGCAGACTCACGCGTTCTACATGCATCAATGAATTTGATAATGCAGATGAATTTCATATGTGCACCTTTTAAAGTGCTGATA